TATTACAAAATTCTGGCATCGTTTTTTTTTTTCAGTTGTACACAGCTGAAAGCATCAATACATGCCAAGAAAACTATGCTGCTTGTAAAGAAACAAAGTTGTTGCACAGTAGTTTTTCTTTTGGGATTTGAAGAATTGCAAAAGCAAAGAACATGCAGGAGGAATTCAGCCTGTTGTGCAAGCAGAACAAGATATACTTTTGAAAGGTTCTGAGAACAGAAGTGTAATGAGTAACACATCCTACGCATTAATAACATTGCAACTAGTGTGAAGAATCACCAAACTTTCAGTTGTCAAAAACTCACATGCGGTTTCAAACTGGCATGATTTTGTTAATTGAAAAAATCTAAACACCACGTTTATTTGCAATACTGCAAGGGGAGATCTGTTATTTACAGTGTATGGGCTCATTTTAGAGTGATAAATGTTTATTTAGTTATTAAAGTTATTCTGTTACAATATTTCTTCACAGGACAGGGTTATTTATAGTAACGTTTTAAGAGAATTTAACGGGGCTAGTAAGTAAAACCTATTGACCCCATGGTAGAACCAAATGCATACTGTCTTTGTAAATTGTGTGAAGGTTTTGTTTGGACCCTTTTGTGTCATACCAGGACTTGAAAGGGAGGGCTGTATACTGTTTGGGGTGACCATTCCCCATTTTTCACAGGAGACTTTGTCAAGTCAGTAATGTTTCTGACAGAGGCTGAGGCTCTGCCTGGGGAGTACTTCTGTGCTGAGTATCTGTGAGCTGTAGACATAATATCAGATTAATCAAGTCCTTCTCCAGCCCTGTGCCACATGTCTTATTGGCAATGAAGGTCACAGTGGAATAGTGTGGAATGGCATCACCTGTTCTTTTACTCTGACACAACTAGCAAGATGTTGTTAACCTTCTTTCCCATTATCTTCCCTTCAGGGCCTGGAATTACAGAGATTTTAAGGATTTATTTACAGAAGAGTTTAGGATTTTGGTTTTCTCCATTGGGATTATAAATATGCACAAGAGACACCAACTGAAAGGTGAACTGTTTTCATTAGTATAAATGCAAAGAATCAATAGTGTTATTTGTGGATCAGACTCCTGTACTGTTACACAGATTAATTATTGACAAGATCCAGTCACGGATAGTGTCATTTTGGCACTGGAGGATCTGATCACCGCCAGAGATTAAACAAGTACTGTAGGTGAAATGTTGAAAATTGTATATCTCATTGTGGCAAAAATGTTACAATAATTAACAATGTTGGACTTCTTTTATCTTAGGTTTCACAAGAGCCAATTTTAAAACATTCCGAGTTGACGAGATGATGTAAAACACTTCAAAGTAAAAATCCTCAACAAATACCCACCATGAAAAGGGACAGGTCAGGCAAAGGGAGGGGGTTGTTGGGAAATTTGCTCCTGGTTGATTCAGAGAGGCCTGTGGATCCCTTGTCTTCCTCAGCAAGACAGAAATCTGCTGGCTATTAAACCACAGCTTCAAAAACTAAGCGTGTCGGTTGAGGGCTGCTAGAGCAATTGCCTAAGGTACTGTTTAAGGATATTTATCATGTGGAGAGATAAACTGCTGAGAGCCAGTATGGGCTAGGCCACAGGAGAATGTAAGCTCTTGGGTGAACTGATGACTAGTGGTGCTGTTAACTGTACTAGAGGTTATGTTGATACAGTCCACAGCTCTGAACCATTTTCTGGGGAATATAAATGCTTGGTGTCATTAAGATCCAGAGATAATTCTCAGAAATGCCTCCGCTCAGATTTAGTTCATTTCTGAGCCTTACTCTGGCATTTTAATTTGCCAGAGGTTTAGTTGTAAATTTAAGTGTAAGTTTAGTTGTAGTTGCAGTTCAAACATAAATTGTTTAGTTGAAATGTGTGCAACTACTGCCTCTGTAAACTTTGATGTGAACTTAAACTTGAGAACGAAATGTCTGTATCTTAATGCAGAATCAGAAGTATAAAACTGCTTCCGCCCTGAAGTTCTGTTCTCTGTGTGAGTGTTAGAGGAAAGTGATGTTTCACTGCTTCCAATATGATACTCTAACTCCCCCACCTTACTCTGTACAAGTCCATCATAGACAAGAATTTAAGAATCAACTCCCTGTCTGACAGTGAGCACAACGGCTCCGGAGATTGCCGTTCTCCTCAGCTTTCATTGCTTTTGTGAAGAAACGTCTAAATTAGTTCTAAGAAAGTCCCAGTTCAATAACTTTTGCATAGCTGTTTATATATGCAGGCACTTTACTGAGCGACGAGTTAATCTCATTTTGCTTTGTGTAACAAATATGTGTTTGCCTGCGGAAACAAAGGTTTTATGGATGAGAGTTATTCTGATAAGAGACCATATTAGGCTTAAGTCATTTTAACTTCATAAATTATCCATCACTCTTTTCAGCTGCACAACCAATATTGATAGACTGTTATTTAATTTATTTCAAAGAGGGTTGTAAATTTTGAGGGTTTTCCTGAAAAATGGCTGCAGGGAAGTGAGCCTTTTATTTTTAGGCTAAACCTGAATTTGTAAATTGTCTGCCTTGCTTTCTGTACGAGATGCTGGAATAATTGGACCCTTAAGGCCAGTGACAGTACATGCTCTGAGCTTGTACTTTCAAATCCTGTCTTGATCCTTAGTAAAATTAGTTTCTGAAGGAAGGGAGGAGTGGTGGACTACCTTTTAACAAAGGGGGGTCATCATACCAATCCGACTGCTCATTCAAGGTAACAATATGATTGTATTTATAAAGTGTTTTCATCAGAGGAGATCCCACAGTCCTTTCCTTATAAGAAGGAACCCACCTGCAGCACCACTGCACAGCCGATCAGGTAGTGAGCTTCACCAGTTGAATTAAAGGGGAACTGTAGAGAACGTATATTGCACAAGTCCAGAGGGAAATTTAGCCAGGATACTGGAGTTTACACTGCTTCCCTTTCAAATTGTGAATGACCAATTCACAAGGGATGACCACGACCAAGAATTAAATGAGGACGTAAATTTGAACTTCTGAAACTGGAAAGGAGAGATAATCGGCAAAGCTGCAGAGAGATCCTGGGATGCAAACTGTGACAATCAGATATTTAATGATGACTTTTATTGCCGATTTGGACAACTGCAAGGTTATCTGAATAAATAAGAATTGATTTTTGTTTCCAGGCATGACAAATGAAAATAATAATAAGGTGGTAGAATGTCTGGAAGGAGAGACAGGAACACTCAGAAGGCCCGGGTGCTGTAAAGCAATTTTCGTGATAGTAGCATCCAAAGGTGATGGAAGGGGCTGAATCTGTAAAAGCATCCCTAACAGCAGTATCCTGGAGTTCCTTAGAGGTCTCTGCCAGTATAGACAAGGCCCAACCTTGCTTAGGTTCTGAGATCTAACACTATGTTTCACTCGATCGTTTAACCACACAACATCATTACAAATTAGTTCAAGTAGGGAGCTGTGTCAGCATGCGTAGGCTGCAAAGGAACAAGTAAAGGTTTATTCCCTGCTGAGGAGAGATGAAAGGAAACACAACGTTTCGGCTGTGGAGCCTTCTTCAGGTGTGTTAATTACAAATTAGGACAACTTGAATTTTTTCAGCTTATGTTTTATGTATTTCATCAGTGCGTTGTTACAAAACAGGCAGCATTTCAACGTACTTAATGATGTGATAGAGGGAAAGTTAGTAATTACAACAGCACTTATATAAGTCAACAGACACAAAGTTCACTCAGTGTGTGATTGTCTTGTTTCATAAAGCTCAGCGGGACACTAATAAATTATGTAATGTGTCTGATTAAAATTGTAGCAAATCAAAACTTTTCAGCGTGTCTTTGAGGAGTCTCATTATAATATTCAGTTCACTGTTTTTGAAATCTAGATGGTATTATGTTTACATATTACTGTATTCATTATTTTAAGTATAGGTTTTTGTCTTAACCCACTTGGTTAAGGGGCAGCTTCCTGGCCATAGGATGAGGAGGCTCAGAGCCCCCAAAAAAGAAGCAATAGACCCCAAAACCAACAGTGAGGAAACAGAGACAAGGAGAAATGTGTAGGCACTACCAGAACACAGTGATTCCCAGATTCCAATCACTCATTTTTTTAAATAATAACTAACAATAGTTCTGTACTCTGTTTTTTTAGCATTACAGTAGATTAATAAACCAGGTTTCATACTTATACTGCGCTTCCATTATTCTACGATTTGTCTACTCAGTTTCCGCATTATCCGACATTTTAAATTATCCAACATACTATCGGTCCTGTTTACAGTAGGTCGGATATTCGCGACTGCTGTATTTGGAAATCTGTTGCGATGCTTGCTTCATAAAATCAGAACTGGTCGGGATATAGACATAGTATGTTTCTGAAGACTAGCAATCCAGTTTAAGGGGCCAGGAATACCTTGATAAACTGCAGAGGAAGCAATGCCAGTTCACAAACAGTACTGAAAACTTTGCTCTGGTGAGAATCTATATTTTTGCTCATTTTGCAAAGTTGAATGAGGAACCAGACACAGGACACAATGATACCTTTCTCACTAATGAAGGGAGGAATTAGAAGAGAGCATCAGCGCTATTATTTAAATAGCCTGAGACGTGAGCTGCCTCAATTAATTATCGATTAGTAGCAACCATTTGAATCCATGATTAGCTTGGAAGACAATTTATCCTTTGATAATGTGAATGATGGTAAGATTATCTGAATGGATGAGAACGCACTGTTCTGTCCAATTGTGAGCCCAAAGAAATGCAATGGTGACGACTGAGTACAGTTCAGATGGAAATACATAAGAAAGTTAAAGCTAGTGACCTGGATTATAGCCCCCACAGCCAGCAAAAACGTTGGCTGGAAAAACGATCGGTGGTTTGTGTTGTGTTTAGAACTGCAGGACACCTGGTGACTGAGCTGGCCACACTTGACACCAGGGATAGCAGCAGCACGAATGGCGGAGATTAAAAAGCTGTAAGCAAGACACGGGCTGAGAAGTTGGCTTCAGGAGCAGCAAAGGACTAAAAGGGACCAAAGACGTTGCAATTGGACGAGGTTGGACATGGGGGGGCGAAGCAGAAGAGTAGAGATTAAATTAAAGAACAGCAGGTGTGAAAAAACAAGAGACCGGCTGTGAAGAAGAAACGGAACCAGGTGGACCAGATTGAATGGAAGATCATTTCCGTAAACTGGCGAACAGCAGAGGCATCGCGGGAGGAGCAAGGACACTGCAAGACACACGTGTTGTTGTGGAATTTAGAATACAAAAAAAAAGCTCTCTTGTTTTAGCGAGGGATACCGGGAATATCTTGATGTCAGTGATAGCAGTAATAAGAGTTGCAAGGGTACGGATGTGGAGAAATATAGCAAAGGGGAATGCTTTTGGGAAGGATACAGTTTCTTCCCATGTGTAATTAATACGTTACGCGGAGAAACGAGAAGGTAACGCTTTGGTTGCTACGAAATCGGATAACAATTTTTTCCCATGATTTGTTGTTCGGAGACAGATCCATGTATAAACGATTATACATAAGGCTAAATCCAATTATAATATTTTTCTCTCCTTCTTTGTTGCTTTGAACCTGGTCCACGTGTAGACGAATCGTGCTTGAGGAGAAACGCGAGGCAAGTACATTATTCTCCTCTTTTAGTTCTGGGTTTTTTTATGCGTTATTTAGAACATGCTCCATACGAATCACGAATGAAATAAAATAAGAAAAAGAGCTGTTTCAGATATTTATATATAACGAATGCCTTAAATGATTATGATTTAGACCAGCTGAGTGAAATTAGCTTGTTCATAGTTACAGTATCCCTCCTGAACAGGTAAGAACGTCCACTTAATGTGGATCTTACCAGCTTTCTGGTACTTGTAAAATAAAGTAAAACAGGGGTGGATGAAATGTTAAACCTTAATGATGTTGATAAAGAAAAGCATTGGAAATGACATGACCACTTACCAATTACATTAGTTAAATGGTATGAGAATGTGTGTGCGTTAAATTTACATTTTAACTGTAGAGCATGAGTGAGCACCATCTCTTGTGCAAAATGCAATGATGCTTCGCGGACGCACGATGGCGCGCCTCATCTGGCATGCTCACCTGCCGCAAGGTTAAAGGCTGGTTCCTCGTTTTGACTGCGTTCGTCATAAACAAATGACAGCATATGAAGTGAGTAAGCCTAACTTCATTCTGTAAGACGCTTAACTTTCGGTGCACAGTAATCTTTTGCGGAAATTAAAGGTTTTCTCCTTTAATTATATTACGTGTAATCGAATCAAATTACACAGAATTGTGTTTGCATAATTTTCGATATGATACCTTTTGATAACATTGAAATACGTTGCTTATTTTTTAAACACCTACGAGGTAGACGGAATCACTGATATGAGCGAGCAAAAACAGTAACATTAACCGGGGCGTTGTTTTCTTCTTATAATATACACCATATATTATTAGATGGCAAAAAAATCAGTTATATTTTGGAGATTGTTCAAGATGTTTTTGCAGTGGGTGTGAACACTGCTTTATTTCTTTAAAAATAATATATATAATTGACAGACTGGAAGCAGAGAAGTTAGGGTGATTATAGGGAGAGTTGAGGGACTGGACAGACCGTGGCAGAGTGGTTTTGCCAGCTACAGTATTGGAAAGAATGAGTTTAAAAAACTTTAATGTGGTGGTTCAAACCCACAAGAAACAAATGCAGATTGCTGGTGGAAGTCCACTTGTGACAACTTGGAAGTGTCCACTACGTACTGCAGAGATAAGTTTTAAACACTGGCCTGCTGAGACCCCTGTATTCTGAATCCGACGACTAATTTTGGACTAGCAAGTGTTGGCAGATGTGGAAGGAACACTGTGGATGTGAGGGTGTTTTGGGGAGAGTCTTACTATTTCTTAGACTCATTTCGTATTGTTTGCTCCCTGGAAGGGTGAATTAACAGAAACGGCTGAAGGATGTTTAGATACGATTAGATTAGTCAAGGCTTTCTCTAATATTTGTTCAGCACAAACTTTATTTCATCGGGTATCATTATACATCTTTCATGCACTTTGGAATTAAACAAGGACTGAGATAGGCATTATTGTGAAAGAATGTGGAGTTAAGTTGCAGCTGCACATGTATGTTGTAAAAGCACGTGATATGAAACATTTGTCATTGCAGAATTTAAATTTGACCCCAAAGGCCTTCTCCTGATGCCCTAAAAAGCTGTATCTTTTGATGTTACTTTATGTGAATTTAAGGTTGAGTTTTTCTGTCCACAGCTGAAACATTAGTTTGTGTTATTTTGCATGTAGCAATACTAAGCAAATACGAGGCCTGCCCATTAAGACTGCTGGTTTCACTCATATCCTGCATAACTGGAATCTCTATCTCTTTTCCCCTTGGGTTTCTCCAGATAAGTGTGAACAACCTGTTTTCAGGTGAAGGAAATAAAGGAGACTGCTGGGTAAGTTCCAGAATATTTTTAACACCTTACTCTCGGAGATGAAACAAATAAGAGCTCACTGGATACTGAAACAGTCAGAATTATGAGTAGATGAAGTGGCGAAAGCAAAACCAATAACATGTTCAAAGTTATCCCATCCAGGATTTACTGAAGAACAGAAGCAACAGACACCACTCGCCTGTGTTTCGAACTGTTCCTCTCGACCAGTGTACATGTGGAAATTACAGGCAGCAATGAGGTCTTGCACAGAAACCCAGATAGCAGAAGCAGAGCACAGCTTCCAGAGGATGGGGGATATTTCAGAGCTCTGGGCTACTGTGTATTGTGGCGCAAAGAGTAAAACTGTCTTCATAAAATGAAAACGGCGGTGGTGTGCTCTTAGTGGTAACATGTCACGTACAGTAAGTGTTGGATTTGGCCTTTTTGTTGCTGAGCAAATATAGCAGAAATAGACCAGCTCTGAGCTGAGAAAGGCCTACTGGTCAGTAAACTCAGTAAGGTCCATTGACAAGAGCTCCACCTGGAATGAGTTTTTGTTTTGCAAATCCCTCTCTGCCAAATAGACTTCCTCTGTACATTTCTGAAAATTGATTATAACACACATGGGAATGATCATCGTCATCCTAAATTAGAGATCTTCACTTCTCTCTTCCATATTTCTGAACATGTCGTGACCATTAAAACGTGTTTTGCTCTCTTTTTCTACCATTGAATTAAGCCATTTGTATCACTTTGTCAGATGATTATTATTATTACAGATAGTTGCACTATTTAATTCAAAAATGAGAATTCATTAATAATGAATATTCATTCACAGAGTGTGCCCCATTGGTCAGGGGGCCCCATTTTTTTCTGGAAGAATATTTTTATAGCTTTTTTTTTTATGAGAAGACTAATTTGGTGAAGCCTCATTACTTGTCTTTTTCTTAGCATATGGATAAGTCTATTAGCAAGGGACAAGAATGAGGTTTCTGCTCCCCACTTTGCCGACTCCTTGTTAAATTGTTTTTATGGCAGAAAGTATTGTTAAAGTCTCCTGCTCCTGTTGCTAAGAGATTTCTGCATCAATATGTACAGAGGACATACTGAGTGAAGGTATAGCAAACACTGATGCTTTGCAGAGCACTAGAGGGGACAAATAAGAGAACCTTCAAATAAAATCCTTAAAAGCAGAACTGGTGGTTGTATTGTAATAAGAATGTTTCTCTGAAAGTGCAGAATGGTCTGTGTGTTTTTTTAATGTAAAAAACAATAAAATGTGTCTGTGAACACTGAAGCACAACACTATAAGCAGTTTACAACAGTGGTTTGAAAATGTACTGTGTGTGTATACATGAATAAATAAAACAGTATTACAGTCTATTTATGCTTCCTCTGGAAAATAGGTCTTATTGCTATGAACAATCAGCAAATAAAAAAAAAGTAAGAATCACAGAACCTCCTTTGAGTTCTAGGTTTTATAATTAAAATCTTTTATTAATATTGATACAAAAGGCACACTTTGCAATATGAAGAAATTGGTTTTACAATATACAGCGGTGGTAGATTTCTGGAACTAGCAAAAAGATACACTTTTTAAAGTAATCATAGTCCCATTTGTTTAAACATCACACTGAAATCAATGGAAAGATTTTTGCTTAAAAGTTCAAATACAAAGCTAACCATACACAAAGAGTCAATTTAAAAAAAAAAGGGAGGTGCTCAACATGCCTAATTAGTGTATATAGTAATCGATTTTCAGGTCTTTACAAAACCTTTTTGGACAAAAAAACTAAAAGTGTGAATATTAGATTGAGCAATATTTAATAGTAGATTGAGTAATTATAGTTCAATTTGTTTAAACATAACACTGAAACCAATGGAAAGATTTCAGTCAAGGTGAATCCATACACAATTTGGGCCTTTGTGCAGCAACAGATAAGAATGTGGTACAAGTCATTTTCCTCATGATTCTCATTAAAATATCTCCTTTTAAAACCAATTGTTTGCTTCCCCTATTAAAGCTTTGAACGTCTGCAAATTATCCGATCATGACAAGCGAGACCCTGGTGGTCCTGCTGTGCTACAGTCCCGCCATTGCGAGATCAGTTCCGTCCATCAGCACCGCTGTCTTGGAACTCTGACATTCTTATCTTTTGCTCAGTGGGGCCCCTGTGCTCCTCGGCCCTCCGTCGGGGGGGGGATCTTTAAAAGTTTTTCCACCGGAAAGCGGAGAGGATGGTGTGGATGAAATAGAGCAGGGTGGCCACATACGCGAACACCTGGAAGACGAGATAAATGGAATGACGTTACCAAAACGAGACAACGGTGGCACCTGTTGTCAAGACGGCAAAAAGCAAGAGTTGTGTGCCGAAGCCGGTTATTAAAGTGTGAGTGTGAGTGTGAGTAGTTTGGCCAAATCCTAATGATTGGAATGAGCTGATGTAGACGAAGGGGCCTTAACTCGCCTGGCTGAGGAAGTGACAGTGCTGTCACCACCAGCCCTCGCTGACGAGGAATAAGCCAGGGGAGAACGTACAGTTAGAGTGAAGACGGGGGAACTAGAAAAGAGGTATGCAGCGCCGTGTTCAACCAGGCAGTTTCCACGTGAAAGGAAGCATAAATGCAAAGAAAATCCGACCTCCTTCTGAACTTCTGTTTGAACAAGCACCATTAATGTACATGAAAACATATACTAGTGCTTGACTTCCGTATTGCAAAATGATTTCTTTTAGATAATTTGGGTGTTGTCAACCCTGGTCCTTATGGCACATCTGTTAACTCCGGGTGTTGGTTCAATGAGCAGTACCTGTACTTGCTCTGATTTTAGAGTCACAGTACTGTAAATGTCAGATGAATTTTACTTATGACATTCCGATCACACCCATACCATTTTAATAAGTCATTAAACTGAAATGGTTTTCAGACAAGTATTGAAGCAGTAATACTGTACTTCTGATCGATCAGATGGTGACACGTATTCCGATGTACTTACAACTGCGGCAATGTTCTCTTGGTAGATCTTGAAGAGGGTACCAGTACTATCTAGATCAGAAAGACTTTTCGAAGAAAGTGTAACTAAGGCTTGGGGAACTGCAGCACTCAAGTAAAAGACAGTGGCGATAAAATGGTAGGCCACATCCTGCAAAATGAAAAAAAAAGTAATTCTTCGTTAATTTCCTTGGGAGCGAGCAGCAATAAAAAGAAAATCCAACATTTACAATCAAAAGTTGAAATGATTGTGCATTGTTTTGTCAATTGTTTTTGCTAGCAATTAACATTCCTTCCCTCTCTTGACATTAAGTCCGATTGAAAGTTGAAGTGGTATACTCATTAAAAGCCACTTTCTTTTCATGGTTTACCCATGTAAAGTATTGATTATTAGTTCTGTATCTTTATACATCCATATTGCACCTAAGCAGGTTAAAGTACGAAGCTGCATTAACACGTGAGCCACAGTACAAAGGAACTCACAGAGCCTAGTTACACACTGGAAAGGACAAGAAAGAGTAAAATACATATTCCAGTTGTGCTCTACCACAGGGACGCTGTATATTCCACTCCTTTTCCTTTCAGCATGACTGTAATACCTACTTGTTGAGTCTATAGTATAATTGATAAATTCTTACTATATCGGTAAAACTTTGAACAGGATACTGTAGGCATTTCTGATTGGATTTCTCTTACCAGTTTTAATATTCATGCAAGTCACTTTTGGGAAATAAATTTAATATAAATCTCTAAATTGAGGACAAAGGAAAGGGAATACTATTACTACTAGATACAGCAATCGTTTTTTGAAACATACCAATCACATGTTGTCAGTCTAGCTAGTGACAAACCGGTTGACCAGTTAGTTTGTATGATTGTGCAAGATACTCACAGCTGCAGCCCACGCATGGCTGTTCTTGTGTGCGCCGCAGAGGAAGATCAGGAGCCACAGGAACGTGACGACAAAGCAGAAAATGGACACGAACATCACCCATCCTTGAGGGTTGGGAAAGGCCACCTTTGTAGATGCCACCAAGATCCATACAAGCCCACCGAAGACCTGGCAGAACCCAGTGATAGGTCAAATGAGGCCATTAAAGCCCTTCCACTTCCAGTTATAAAAGTCTTCTCATAATCAGGATACAATAGGAAACAATGTTCTTTTTTTTAACAAGTGTAAAGACAATCTTGGCACTTGAATTACTGAATCCAACTTAATAATAATTTGGATTTGTAGAGAACTTTTCATCTCAAGGGATCCCAAAGTATTTTGCACGTGGAGGAAAGACCCACAACAGCCATTCTGCACCTGCTGTAACACTACATAGCAGACCAGGTGGAGAACTGAGAAACTGATTCACCTGTTGTCTTTAAAGAGAACTATAAGGAGGCCAGTTTGGACAAGCCCAGAGAAGAATTCAGACAGAATGCCAGGGCTAACACTCCTGGTCTCACTGTAAGCATTAAAAGGTTAGTGGTTAATTAGCCCTAAAAACTGTGAGTCATGCAGCAACTGCAACAGGTTATCTAAACAACAGGATTGTCTCTTCTGTCTTATAGACTTTTAGTCTAATATTTTTTTGTAGGTTGGTAATTCCATTCAAGACACACACATTTGGGCTCATTGGGCCAGAACTGATCTTGATTTCTTAGCGTGAAGCAAACATGAAGCACATTGACTATTGCACTGAAAAGGTGCATTCTAAGATTTGAATTTTAAGATAATATGAAACTCCCGAGTGGTTCTGCCATAGTATTTTAGCTATATTCCTTTAAATAATCCGCTAAATGTCATGTTTCTCAAACGATTCAGATATCCTGCAATGTGTTCAGAAGATCTAGTTTCATTTAGAGTGAAAGCCACTGCAGCATATTATAAAAGCTAAGATAATTATGGGAAATAAAACAGATTTTGAAAACTACAGTTGTTGCTGCCGTTTTAATTTAAACTGCGTCAGAAACAGCCTAATGTAGCGCTCCGAGGATCACGTGGGTTTGCGCCCTCGCCGCTGCCGCCTCAGGCCACCAGGGACTCGAACCCGGGCCTCCAGCGTCACTCAACAGGGACCCAGCCAGTTGAGCTAAAGGGAAATGTCCCCCCAGCCCAACGGCTGCGGTCCCTGCTATTTACAGGGAAGGGCAGTGACGTCACCGCACTAGTAAGCAGGCTTGCACAACCTATAATGTCAGCTGTATGCATTTACGCAAGCTTTAAAGAAAACAAGACAGAAATATGTTCAATTTAACTCTTGGCTGGAAATAGTTAAAGCCCTATCTACTCAACCGGTTCTAGTAGCTGGGTAAAGTCCAAAACGCAAGAAGACAACTGAAAAGCCAAAAAGCCACAAATGGAATGGTAGAGTTCAGCAGTTCACACCCACCTGTTTGAATATTTCATTACTGGAAGGATCTGAAGCTCCCATTTTTGAGACTTCAATGTTTTGGCAGCTTAGGTTTTAGGTGTAGATGAATTCTAAATAACTTCTAAAATGTACCCAGTAGAACATCCTATGTTCCTCTGAGTCAAGAAAGATGCCACAACATACTGGGTGGCCTTTTCATTCCAGATCTTGGTTAGAAACATTGTTTTGTTAATATGTTAATATTAAATTCTACCATCAACAGCCCTGGTTGTTGCAGCACAGTTTACAATCTGCATGGGGAACATTTCCTTTCTGGTCACAAAGGTGTTTTGCACAGACTCTTATTTTAGGGTTGTTGTTTTTTTTAAACCAGAGTTCTTTCACCAGAGCAGCTGAGACAAAAGAAAATAAAGCATTAACAATGGTGTGCATGGCTTTCAGCAGAGTTAGAAAGTTAAGCCTGACTTCATGAAACCAGTTATTCTAGATGGGAATTCTAGATTACCATTAAAAAAAACGGCGGCCAATCACATGATCTAAAAATCAGATGAACATATTGTATTGGAAGGCTATATTTTTCCTCTTCAGACATATTCATTATTTCATCATGAAACACATGCTACAGTATATAGATAAAGTGATGATAAAAGTAGTATACAGTACCTTTGCTTGATTTATAGAGTTTAACAGCAGTTCGGGAAAGATGTCAACAACCAAGCTCAATCAGACTCAGCTGTCGGTCATTAGCAATCGCTCCTGACAATCCATTCCTCTCCCAAACGCTATAAATACCTACGAGATCCCTGTCTCTCTCCCTCTTGCATCCCACCTCCACCTCTACAGCTACCCCTTGGTCACCCTGCATGGGGTTCCTGGTCTCCCTGTCCTAGCCTTCAGCCAAGCGGGTTAAGCCACAATGTTGCTCCATGACGCTTTCATCTTGGGTGTTGTTATTCCTGGGTGAATTGTTTTTTTTTCCCTGTCAACAGCTAGAAGCAGGTCACAAGTGCCCGATTAAAAATGACCAAATGGTGGCGTGTCAGAAAAACAGGTTAGGGACAGCGGTGCGTTCTGGACAGACAGCTCAACTAAATACACAGAGGGACGTATCCAACACCCCAAATTAATGACGGCATTCTGCCATTGGCAGGTGAAACGAGCACCCGTTTTAAATCCGATACACTATATACAGTATATAGACTCTATACAAACCCTAGAAGAAGGGGTACGTGATCAAACGAAAGAGCAAAGAGCCGAGAGTTAGCGGAAAGTTGTGGTAATACAGTATGTTAAAAACAAAGTGGCTATTGTTAAATTTAGACTGTTCACTTTTCTCCAAATACAACGGTGGGCGCTGTCCTACATCTGGAGCTCCCTCACGGTTAAAGAGGCACCACCCCGGACTTGTTTACACCCAAAATAGGCAACTTTTACAGTTGTGAAATTCTGCACAACCACTGAGCTTTCTGATCTCCCAAGAGCAACTTTTCCGTTTCCAACTTTACGATATGGATGGCTCCACTTTTATCGTGCACTTTTTCCTTTTCCGTTATAAAACATTGATATTTCGTCTTCTGACCCGTTTGTGTGTGAATTATGTTCAAACCATTCGTACTGTCTGTTATATGTGTATTTTGTTAAAATACTTATTTCTGTATTAATCCCTTTGCTCCGAGCCGCATTAACCTTACTTGCAAGCAGCGTTAGAAGAGAGTGTGGACTCAAGACCTTGTTTCAAGTGTACTAAAGCCGAGACACGGTTTTACCCGTTAAAAAAACGCAACAAGGTTTGATCTTTAAGCGTTTATTTCTAGCTACTACTTTTGTACGCTTAAAAATACTTTATAGACATTTCTTTTTGTATACATACATATCCAACCCCTTGCGCTATTAGTCCAGTAACTCAAGAACGCCATCAAAGCCAATCTGTACAGTTACTTTTTCCACTTTACTTAATTAAGTTCTAGAAAATTTAGAATAATATTCAAGGCGTACTTTCGGCATAGGATGGTTTAATGTGTACATCATAACTTTAAATCTAACCTAATCTATATTTAAGTCAACATACACTAAAAAGTTACCCAACCTACAATAAGAAAATAAGATACAAACGCAAAAATGAAAACTGCACCTGCATTGCACCAAACTATTTTAGATTACAACCTAAAGAGCATTTTCTGACTTACAATTTAGTTTTTGCAGTGGAAAGTTGTTTTTTGCTAGGAAATGCCGACTTCGTTGATTTTGAGGATAAAAGCATTACATGATAACAGGTAATTGTACAAGATCGTTGAAGATGCTCTAACGTTTCAAGAGTTCTAGATACTTACAAGTTCAAGTATATAGAAGATATCGGGCAGGGTTGTACACACACCGAGTCCGCTGGGTAGGGTGCTCATGGCTTGTGCTGCACTAGACATCTCTCAAGTGTTCCCGACTCTATTAACACCTCAACTGAAGGACCTCGGCAACAGGTGATCCTTTTGAGGAAAGTCAAGCACCTGCAAAACCGGCTTTCCCATCCCAGAGCCTATCCCAGGCACACACCCGTTAAAATATGAGTAAAAAAAACAACTCAGTGAGGAGCCTCAGACTTGCAACAGCAGGTGTAAAATCGGCTGACGTATACGTGATGAGCGTGAAAGCTTGATTTGATAAACCTGGGGTTTTCTTCCTTTTCTATTAGTTTTTTTTTTTCGCAATTCTGAAAACCACACCCTTTTCACGTTTTATTCAGTGAAGTTACTCCAGTCTAGTTTGCCACCTTCACTGAACTTCATCGGCAGCCAAGTGTAAAAATTTAAAAGGACGGAGTTCAAACTGGGGTCTACTTCTTAGTATCCAGTGGCAGTGCAGTGTTATGGATGCCCTTTTCTGCCCGGTATTATCTTAATTTTGATGACCAAATAATGGTTTCGTGTTGTATTTGTTCTGTTTTCTTTTTCACGTATTCTCTTTTTATTTTGTGGGGTAGGAGTGTCATCCCTGCCTGTGAGTCACCAAGAAATCACTTTTGTCACAAATCCCCTAAATTGAATCGATCATAAAAGCAAGAAATAGACTTGACAGAGAAATGAGAAGTACTTCAACGGGGCTCAAGAAGACTGGAGGAATCCAGTTTAATAATACTGCAACCTAATTTATTATATGCACAGTAAAAAGATTGAACAATTGTGACACAACTGATAACATCAAAAGTAAAATTAGTTTTTTTGGAAAATACTCACATATATACAGCACAGTAGCTTAAAATGGTGGTAAAGATAAACTCTCCAATATAGATATATAATATTACAAAATTCCTGCTGGGAATATTTCATATTACTTGAACGTAGAAACATAAAGAAGATACTGTATAAAGCTAGGGAAAGCAGGGGCAGGGGGCATTAAATGTACAAGATGTTCAAGTATTTTTCCAGAGTACTCCAGCCGCAGAAACAGTTATCTTCTACAGCAGTGCAGAAGAGCAGATGTCCAAGGCCTTAAGAGGATTTCCATCTTATGGCTGAGAACACGGCGTGAAGAACATAAAACAGTGTAGCGATGTAGGACATTACCTGGGAAAAACAAACAGCATTTTAGGGTGCCAGAAGTTATGAACGGAAGGAGACAGGTCTTCAGACAAGTCTTGTCTTCCATCAGAGCAGATGGAAGACAATGAATCTGCCCGACCAAAACCCAGACCTTGAACTTGAATGCAAGACTTTCTACTGATTTTGAAAGCCTCCCTTGGTGATAAAGAACAGCTGTGACAAGTTCAATTATCTTAGAAAAATATTAACCAAAAAGGACCATGATTTTGTAGAATGTTGAAATGGTATACACGTTATGATTTCCATAATCGTCCATCAGATATGAGAGGTCCAAATGTTTACCTTTGCTAGATGGATCCTGTTGCACCACACTCCTCCAATATACTTAGGATCAAATTCTAATTGATTCAACAAGATTTTGTAATGTATGGGGATAACATATAACTTGCCTGGATGGGGTAATGGCAGAATGACCATTAGGCTCAAGACTGATAAACTTCCATCACTTGTGAGGAATGAGCCAGGGAGGCAGTTTTGAGGGTGAAGATGGTTTGGTACAAGGGGTGTGAGAAAAGATGTGTGCAAAGAACAATCAGAAGGCAAGATGCTTACATATAAGAGAAATTTGAACTCCTCCAAAACGTCTGTTAACAAACTCCATTACATCTAGACAACTGGCTCTTGATATAATGTATAAAGAGGCTTCAGGGTCGACAACACTTTTTGCATTTTTTGGGTTGTACTTACCACTGCAGCAATGTCCTCCTGGTAGGATTTGAAGTTTAAAGAGTCATTTTGCAGCCTGATGGTAACATTGGCTAGCGCAACAGAGGCACTCAGGTAAAAGAATGCAGCAAGGGCATGATAGGCCACATCCTGGAAGATAGCAAGAAATCCTGGAATACATTTTCACTACAAAATGTTGCTCACAGTTTAGTAGTAGAATCCATATGTTGGGTTTTTTTTTTCCCGGGGCGTCAATGCTTTAAGACTTGGTGGCTTCTGCTTAGCCAAACCAGCAAGGCAATCTAGAAACTATGGCAGAGCAAACTAAGGTCACTGCAGATACTAAAAGCATGCCACAGCTCCTAGACTACTGCACAAGCATGGATTGGAAAACAGTACATGATATTTAAGAATTTTCCCATTGTATATGAAACCGGGTTCATAATCCATTACTGAAGTAATTGAGTAATTACTGAATTACTCAATAATGACCTACAGCAGTGGATTCCAGCCCTGGTCCTATGTATGCTGGTTTCTGTTCAAGCTGAGCTCTTTATTACTTGATTTAACCCCTTGAGGGACCTATTAATAGACTGATTTAGATATTTTCAATCGTATTCAACTCTCAAACAGCAGCATATAAGGAGCTGACAGCCCAGCTAGAAGAACAACCAGGAGACAGAGTGATCAGATATTATCACTCAGAGTGACAGAGTGATAGTATTTGTATTTGATTCTTGGTTAAACATAAAGCAGTGAATGAAAAACCTCTTCATGCGCAAAGCAGATTTTAAAACTGCTTCAAACATGTGTGAAAGCCATAACAAACTGGAGTTCTGTTATTGAAAGCCTGGGAAAAAATCAGATGTGCAACATGAGGTTTAGTGTAAACATTCATTTAAGAAAGGGCCTTACCAGTGTTGACCACACAGTGCTCCTCTGATTAACCCCGCTGATGAAGAGGAAGAACCAGAGAGTTGTGACGACAAAGCAGAAGACGGACACAAACATCACCCATCCTTGAGGATTTTCCAGATACACTTTGGTAGAGGCCACCAGGATCCATACCAGACCCCCAAACACCTGGGGAGGAGAACAGGAGGAAACTGGGATTGAAGAGAGAGAGGACCACTGCACACATGAAGCACAGCAAGAGTTTTTCTTCCAAGGAACCAAGAGGAAACCACCTGTTTTAATCTTTGGAATTGCTGTGCAGTCAGAAACCCAAGGTGTCATTTTACGTCGACAGACACAATTTTTTAAACACAGGAATGGTCAGTTTCCGTAAACAATCAGAAGGGAGAAAACTTGGTCTAATATTTCATTTTAGACAATTAGGTATCAGTTATGCGCCAGAACACTGACCAGAACACAGCTTCTCTGTGATCGCAGTTACATTTATTTTTTTCTCTTCCAGATTACAGTGAGTACTATTTGTAGGATCTGAACAGAATGTCTGTCAGAACTGGAATGAGTCAGTGTATTAGAGACCATTCTCCCTCATCTGATATCAAGCACTTTTAAACCAACTGCTCATCAGTCCTAGAAAAAGACGTTTTTGAACTTACCCTTGCCAGTGAAAACACAGATTAATACCAAGCACATTCATATAATTTTGGCCAATAAGACAGAAGCTCTTTTTGAAGCTCTCATTAGATGGTTGCTTGCAAATTTGCATTTTTAAAACAGAGCATTTTGCAGATATAATTTTATCACACAAAGATTTTTGTTTTATGGGCTTTTAGTGGTATATACTAATTACAAATTAATTAGTCCTTTTAAGCTTCTATTTACTTCAATATGGCAGTCATGGAGAAATATGTAGAGTATGTGTATTGAAGTATCTCCGGTTTATAAGGAAATGGTCAGTGTTTGTAAATTTTTTTTTGTTAGAAATGAAGAATGGCGGCAGCTTGGAGGTGCAGTCTAGGGCACGGGGGCCCTGGGTTCAGTTCTGGACCCGGGAAGAAGCCAGCCTGGAGCTTGTGTGTTCTCCCTGAGTTCACATGGGTTGTCCCCCAGCCCAGAAGCATGCTGGTAGATTCCGTATCTACTGGGCACACTGGCCCTGGCGTGAGCATATGCGTGTCGGTGTTTCTGTCTGTGTGTCTGCCCTGTGATGGACTGGAGTCCTTTCTTAGGTGCACCTTGCGCATGTTGCTTGCAGGCATAGGTGCTGGCTGCCCTGCAACCCTGAACTGGAAGATGTGTTTAGGAAATGGATGGATGAATTGGTTAACAACATTTAAACTAAATGAAAGAGAGGACGTATGCCTGCAGAACAATGTGCATGAAACCAGTGAACCTTGAAGAGAGGTACTATCTGTCCCAATAATATTATGAGAGCTCTTCTCATTCCTGAAGTGTTACACAAGCCTCACAGTAATATGTAATACTTCCAATCAACAGCTGGGCGGTTCCTGTGGAATCTCCTTCTCTGTTCTCTTAGAAAAGGAAAGAATGGCCACAGAAAGGATGTCTGGTTACATCCTGGGGAATCACAGATCATCCCTGAGGGATCTTGCACACCTTGGTGTCCAACATTTGTCTGTTTGCTAGTAGACTAACCCAGATGAAGCAGAATAGGCTTTGTCATTCATTAAAAACAAAAATAAACTCGGACTATCACTTGCTACAATTTGTGTAAATAATAAGCAAAATAAGAGAAAATATAGAAAAGTATAGTAAATTAAGAGAGGTTATAATAAAATTGTATAATGTACTAGACAGAAAATATATAAATGCTCTGAAGGAACTGAATCTTTTTAGTTTTGAAAAGAGAAGAAGAGGCAACCTGAGACAAATGAAAAAATCTCTAAGTTATTTAAAAACAGGCAAGCCAGCAGACTTCTGCAGGATAAACAATGAAGCAAACTAGAACACACAGGGGGAGACTGCAAGGAAGTGCATTTACAACTTTTTCACACAAAGGTTTGTGGGAGTGTAGAACATGCCACACAGTCGTGTATTGTTAAAACCGATACCCTGGATTTTTTCAGGAAAGAGCTGGATAAGATCCATTAGCTATTACTGTACATGGATATTATTAACTGAGGTCTGGGAGGGATAACAACAACACATCAATCTAACACAGCTGTACCCAATCACCATCATTGCGAGACTACCTCCAAAAACTGAACTCAAACGCCTCCCTTTGCATTTCGTCTCAAGCCTCCCTCCTGAACCCAAGCTCCACCTTGCAGTTACCCCCTTAGTTCATGCCATGTGAATGCTATGGTACCATTCCTGCTTGGATACCAGAATATTGTTGTTTTAGCACTTAAAACTCTGCTTTTGTTTTTGTTTTTTGTTTGTTAGCTTTTAAATGGCAAGTTTTTAAAGGGAGCTGGCAGGATGAAATCTCCAAATGAAAGTAATCTAAAAATGAAATCTTCCAGGAATTAAATTTGATATGTGATTTCACTTGAAGAGTAAGTTCACAGTCTTCCAAGCTAGGATTCAACCCAGAGCAACAATGAGGAAGAAGCCAGTGAGAAATGTTTGTAGCAACACAAGCTGTTGGTCGTGCTGTTGATTCTTGAACAATGGGGCTATTGTTTTTGAATGACAGTTAAAAAGTTTGAAAGGCTTATGGACAGAAATAAAATTAGATTTAGACCATAAAAAAGCTCTGAAGATGAGAGACAGCGTTTCGGCTCATCGTCCTTGTTTGGCAGTTTAGTAGCTGGGTGAATCTAGACTTCAGTCCAGCCATTTCTTCAACGGTCTTTGGACCTCAACACCCTGGCTGGGAAGCTTGTTCCATCCCCCCTCTACTTTTTGAGTAAAGACGTGTTTCCTATTTTCTATTCAATTTTAAAACTGAATTTGAAACTTAAGAGTTTGAATGTAAAGTGCTCCGTTTTGCAAAACCTTAAGAAGGAAACAGATGACCTCTTTCTAAATAAACAAAATTCTATAAACCTTTAAGATCGGAAATTGTAGCAGATCTGTATATACTCACAAATTCTGGAAGAAAGAAGACATCAGGCACTGTTGTGAATACCCCACATCCACTAGGCAGACTGCTAGATGGGGTAGCCATGTCTCCTGCGGTACGTGTCTGATGCCTGCAGAGCCCTGCAATGAAACTTGTGATACCTGGGTTCCCTTATGAGGGACACCCCCCTACCTGACCCAGCCCTCTGTGAAGAACACACCCAGAACAATCATAAGTGGTGGCATTTCATCTGGCCCCTAGCAAGTTATTGTCTCCTCATCCCGACATTTCGGGCCCATTGTCCAGTCAATTGTATGAAGTCAGCGTGGCCTGGAACATGACACCCAACAGCCTGTTTGTTTGATTGTTTGAGTGCAATTGCCAAACGGCCAACAAGCTCTTTGTATCCCCTGAAGGTTTTTACTGAAATCTTAAACATCATTGGTCCAGGAAGGTTCTTTGTTATGAAACCATAAACAGTTACCAAGTGGTAATGTGGTAAACTGAGTAGTCAGCCATTATGCCTCAAGGTTGTTTGTATTTGCTGCTGCCCCGTGTGCCCCATTTCATTGATGTTTGGGTTCTAAGCAAGGACGCTTGGTGTCCCAGAGTGGTCTCAATGCATTCTACTACAGGAGAGTTTTCTCATGCCAATAATGAACTGAGTCTTTAGCGTTTTAAAATCCAGTAAAGACAAATAAAGATGATGATTTTTCACAGATCAGTTCTGTTTTCCTTCCAATAACGTGGCCTGGAGATGATGGTTGTAGTGTAATACTCTCTCCAGAGATCTGCCTGTTAATGGTCTGCCAGGAGCATAAGTACACACAACAGCCATGATATTGACATCAGAGATTAACCAAAGTGTGGCCTCTCTAGAGCATCAGCATGACACTCACTGGACTAAGCTGGTCATTGGCACTTTACAGTACTTATCAAGTAGACACTTCCCATCTTCTACTCCTCAAAAGGGCTTGGCACTAATACTGGGATACTGGCATCCCAGTATCGCTGCCCCTGTCCTCCGGCCAGCTTAGCCCAATATGCGAACCCACAGTACGTTCTTTGGTCTTTCCTTATTCTGTTCATTTTGCAATCCCCATCCATTTTCCTTAAACGTCAACCACATGAGGGTCACCTAATGGACTACCTGTCCATTAACTTAAATGAACACTCCACTCAAAGCATTTTACAGGTAATGGGGACTCCCCTCCACCACCAGCAATGTGTAGTCCCACCTGGATGATGCAATGACACCCATAGAGTGCCAGTACACTCACCACACAGCATCCCTCAGACGGAAAGAGAGCAGAGTTATGAAGCCAGTTCATAGATGTGGATTATTAGGAGGCCATGATTGGTAAAGGCCAGGGGGAATTTTGGCCAGGTTATACCCCTGCTCTTTTCGGGAAACGCCCTGGGATTTTTAATGACCACATAGTCAGGACCTCAGTTTTATGTCTCATCCAAAGGATGGCTCCATTTTACAGTATAGTGTCGCTGTCACTACACTGGGGCGTTAGGACCCAAACAGACCACAATGTGAGTGCCCCCTACTGGACACTGTAATACTTCTTCCAGCAGCAACTTTCCCCTATGCGGATACTGACCAGGCTCACACCTGCTGAGCTCCAGTGGGCTGCCAGTTGTGAGTTGCAGAGTGTTATGGCTGCTGGTGTAATGGATCTTTATCCTCTCATCTGCTTCATCCACAGTGTCACCCACTGACCTTCAGGCTCCACCAAAAGAAGCAAGCAGGATGGTTGAGGGGTTCTTGTGGCGATCTCAGATGGGAATATTGGACTGCAGTCTCGGATTTCTGCAATCCTCCAGTCACCAGCTGCTTCCGGCTGTAGTGGTCATGTCCTGAGTCTAATACCTGTGCGTCCTGGGTACGTGTCCCACAGTGAAATAGAGAACTGCCTTCTCATCTCCCACAGCCTGGTGCTGCCTCCCTGACACATTCATCCTGTGTCTCCAGCACTGAAACCTCATGAGAGACATTTTTAAACTACATCAAGCTGTAGACAACTTGGCAATGTGGAAATACAATAGGTGACTTGCACAGTGGCTATAATACATGGAAAGCAACCTTCCTGAAAGCTACACTGCAAGGAGTTAAATTATGATACATTTTACTTTGTGCTGTGTGCAAGTGTAAAGCAACCTATTACCAATGCTAATGTGTTTCTTCTTATTTACAAATTTATTTTACCATAATGAATGTATTAAATATCAAGATCTTGGGATCTTGTTCATTGTTCCGGAGGCAAATTCTTAGGCCTGCAGTTGCACAATTGGGGTTACTGTACAATCCAGTTAATCTCATTCATTAGTATAAGTGTAACCAGCATAACCAGAATGAAAGTGAATAAGAGTGTGTAAGTATTTGTTCTGCTTACCAGTGAAGTAGACATATATCTTTATTGCACATACAGTATCCAGCAGTACAATATTACTACTGAACTACATTGTGGGAGGTATTAGAGTAACTGTTGGGATATGTTAATTTAGACTTTACCAAAAGGCATATAAAACAGAATAAAGGTGACTTGTTTTTGATAGTTGCAGCAACTAATTTCAATCTACAAGGTTTTAAGAATAGAAGTAATCACATTTAATGGCATGACTAATACTCAACTTTTGTCACACATGGAAGGCAAACACAAGAGCTGAATAAAGCTGAATTTGCACAGGACTGTGTCCTGCTCCTCTGATGAAGAATCTCCAAAATCAAAGAAACTACCTCATTTTAAGTAGTATTATTTTGTATACTTTGCTTTTATACTTGTCCTTTTTTGTGAAAGTAACATATTTGTACAGTAAGTCTAAATCCGAGAGATGAATTCCTGATTTTGAATATCCATAGCCCTCCTTCTAAGGGGAAGTATCGGAAGCACTCATGCAAAATGCTCTCGTTAAAGTGCCAATAGAGACAATAAACACAATGTACTGGTTGCTAGGCAATGTCTTATGAGGTGATTAACAAAAGCTATTATTTGCATCACTTCTTTTCATCTTCTGGTTCTCTGTAGACTAGAAATGTGAGACAACTGTGCTCGACACATCACACATGTGTGAACATGGAACACAGTGATCAAAGTTGCTCCAAATTTCTGCTTTCTTGATCTCTATCTATCGCTGTGGTGGCGATCTGTGTGATTATGGAGACAAAGAAAAACGTAAGGAGAAAATTCAGCCGTAAGGGAGCTCAAATAATTTCCACATGCAATAAGGCCTTCATGACACCCACACCCTTCCTAAATTCCTCTTCCATTCGAAGGCCCAGTCACTGGTGTCCCAATGTGCACCAGTCTGACTGCCTACAGTACAAGCACCACTTGGAAAGGGAAACACATACTGTGGGTGAAGGTTGTGTTTTGCTGTGTCATATGATAAGATCAAATGCCATACAGTGCTTTCAATGCATTCTGTTTTACGCGACTGTAGCAGCCGTGGGAAAGCTACATGTGGTTCTGTGTGTATATTTATAAATGAGGACTGCATAAGACCTGCATTTAAAAAAATAAAAATGCTTAAAATAAGGAGAAAAAAATAGAGCAGCTGGGAAACAGCAAAGAAATTACTGTACAGTATTTATAACCTGTTCACAGACTTCATGTAATATTTGCTTAATGTCTTTCAGTCTCCACTTAAAAGCGTTCTTTGTTTCTTAAACCTATGATATCAGTACATTTTGATGCTGTTGCCAGCAGTGATCACTGACACATGTCTTAAAACCTAAACTGCTTAAATAAAAATTGTTGACTTGGTAGTGAAGTAGCCATAGGCATTGTCATTATGATAAGCAATTGGTATTTCTCTTTTAAGTGTAAACCATGGAGTAGTGAGGTCAGGCAGCTCCTTTGTATGTTTTAAAACAGAAACCTTGTACTGAGCTGTGCTTCAACAACTGGTAAACTAGCAACGAGGCTAACAAACATCAGTATTACCGTCAACACGTAGTCAACAAAAAGGCAAGTACTGTGTATTTACCTTCAGGGATGAATTTGACAAAAACAAGCAATAGTTGATGATCTGTAGATTACAAAAAATCACAGTCTTATATGAAATTTGATTGTTCACCAAAAGAACCATACAAATGTAACAAATAATCTTTATTGCTTGCAAACTATTTTGCAAAAGCAGCCTTGTGTGTCTACATAAGTACCACAATAATGTGAGAATTTCTTACTCTTCATAAACGAAGTAGAAAAGTAAAACTATTTTGTTATGTTTTAACATAAGACGGGCCCATTAGAGTCAGAACGACCCATATTTTCAGTAAGGATGGTTCAGCTTCTTGACTGAATATTTGATAGTGACTTTTTTTGTGAAAAACACAGAAAGGTACCAGTGAAGTCAAATGACCATCTGAAAGCTCCTCTGCCAGAGGTTGTCATTATTGAATCACATATTGTGAAAATTCAGTAAGAATTATCGATTTCCAAAGTGGAATCAAAATCAATGACCTTGCATTTTGTGAAACATCATGTTAGCTTTCGATCTTCAGTCAAATGGATGTGCTAGCAATATAATTCAATGGACTGTGATTGAAGGCTTCTGTTTCATGTACATCAAGATAAAACAACAAGGACAATGAGGTGAAAAGGAGGATTGGGTTACCCTGTGATGGGATTCAATGACTAATCACTGATTTGAACGGGATGATTTTGGTTTTCACCTTCTGCCTCATCCAGATCACAGGTATTACTGTGTGAAATAACTGTTCAGTGTGTTGAATTTGTTTCCGAAAGTTCCAGTTCTGTTACAGCTCATTTCCAAAGACCTCAGAGCAGTTCAGGTCACAGCAAAGGAAACAGAATAAATGCAGCGCTGAAGGTGTTTTACTGCTGCCATGGTAACACTTTGCAAACTAAATCTTTAACTGGAATAAAATGCTTACCATTTGCAAAACACTTTTTTTTTTTATAAAGTGTACAAAGTCTATCCAATCACCCTGCACATTGGTCTCTTTTTCACTCGAAAGTATTGATACAGACTTTACTAAGCAAATATGGTGTAAATACTGAACGGGCAGCAGACATGTTAGAAACACAGTACAACAGAGCAGCTTACTATATCAGAGGTCTTCTGGATACACACCTTAGGCAACTCAAAACAAAGCTCAGTTACATACAGAGGGTGAAGCACCTCGTGGACTGCTCTTGCTAACAACCCTATCAGGGCCAGTGTATCCTGAGAATGCTCAGGTGGAACAATAAAATCCTGAAAGTGGTCAGAGGCCACAGTGAAGATCAGTGGGTGTGGGCTCTGGACTTGTTAACTGGAAAGTTGTGAGAAAAGATTGCAGGTGAGACACTGTTGCTTGAGCAAGGTCCTTCGCTCATATTGCTCCAGTATAATCACTGGCTGCACTGGATGAAAGCATCAGCTCAATACATTCATAATATCACTATTGCTTAATGCAAGACATCTTCTCCACAGCTCCCCAAGCAGAGGGGTTGTTGTAACCGAACACACTCCAGACGACTGACCTTCTTCTCCTCTTAACACTTTTAAATCCACCAAAAAATCCACATACTTCCATTTTGTTTCAGATTACCTGCTCCATCCTCCCTCAAGCCTGAGAGATGTATTAAAGGGAAACCGTTTCTGCCATCAAGTGCCTGTTATTCGGCACATCAGTGTTCACAAATGGTCTGGCCATTAACCAACTTTTTCTTTCATTTTTAATTTTTAATAGCGCAACCAGAGAAGCTTCCGATTCCAAGAATTTCATGCGACAGAATGAAACAGAAAAAATCCTGCTGGTTTCTGTTTTTAAGTTATGTCCCAAACTTTCAGAAGAAGGGATTATTTCACAAGGGTGGAATGCAGTGACCAACAAATATAGCCAGAGGCAGTTAAAGTCAGTGGGGAGAGTGGCAGCCCATTTTAAAAAGCAGGTTATGTGGATTCCCCTCTCCGTAGAAAGAGAAGAAAAGCATCCGGGAAACATTTCCCCACAGAAAGTACAACACCAGCTTCGGTGCTACTGTCCTAACTGTCGTTTTCCAGGTAATGAAAATCAAGAGTGGGTATGTGCTCCTCAGAGCTCCACAAGTCACATTCCAACCCATAACTTTCTGGCTCACAAAGTCTCCATTACACTCACTCAGCATCTTACATTAAAGATAGTGCTCAGGTATCCAGTGCACTACTTTGTAATTCGACTCCTAAAACCTACCACCTTTCTTCGTTTCAGCCTAAGTGCTCAAAGGTAAACAACAGGAAGAAAGGCAGGAAAAAGGAACAGGTCCACATTTTTAACATGAGATTTTAATACAATCATTTCACTGAATAGTGCCTTTTTATTTCTACAATAAAGGCCATGCAGATTGGTTCTGCCCCCAGTTTGCTGGAGGTACATTTCCAATGTTAGTCTAATCTCCTCGAAATAGTTTACTGTGCTGTGCAAACTCTAAAGCTTTTTGAAAAATTAAGGATGATTGTGGACCATATGGAAGTTGAATTGTGAAACACCCAATTGTTTTCTAGGATTTTTTTTTCAGAGTGTGGTTTTGACAGTCTTTGATAATCATCAAGATTTGAAGGAAACTATGTTTGACATCACTCTATTTGCGCAAACAACAAGATGTTACAGATGGTCAGTGCCCAAATTCCAGTTGGAGTGACACAGTAAAAAAGACTGCAGAGAGGAATTCAAGTAATTTGATCTTTATAAAATGAATATCTTTCTGTGTCATCTGTGAAGTACACACCATAGAGAAATTAGCTTTTCCATGAGAGAATTAGGGACAATGAACAGAGAAAAGCGCAGCAGGGCCACTTGTGACCACAGTTAGTTTTGAAAATACAGTATGAAGTCAGTCAAAAGAAAATATATTTTTCAGGGGATCAGTTTTCATCATGTCTGGGCAGAGTGTTACAGACACACACCATCCCTTTTGAAAAAAAAAGAATAAACCTGTTCTTGGTCCTTAATACACTTCCTTATACAGCAATATCCAGTTGTGTCTCTGTGTTTTTATTTCTCCGCTAAGAATAATAATGTGTTGCATTAGTTCAAGTAGAGAGCTATGTCAGCATGTGTAGGCTGCAAAGGGACAAGTAAAGGTTTATTCCCTGCTGAAAAGAGAAGAAAAGAAACACAACGTTTCGGCTGTGCAGTTTTCTTCATATGTCCAACTGGGTGACACCCGAAGAAGGGTCCACAGCCGAAACGTTGTGTTTCTTTTCTTCTATTTTAAGCACGGAATAAACCATGACTTGTTCCTTAATAATGTGTTGGTTTAACTTTGTCAATATCTTTTGGGATCCTCAATACCTGTGTCAGATCCTCTAATTATCTTCTCTATTCAGTATTAAAGAGATTCAATTCTTTCAGTTTTCCGTGTCTGCTCTATAGTATTTTCCACCCCCACCCCCCTTGTTTTTATGTAATTTTTAAACAAATATTCTGGTTCAGTCAAGACTATTGATATAAATTAAGTAGAGCATTGTTTCCTCTCCAGATATCTGTGGTACTCTACTAATGACATGTTTAATGACATTTCTCTGAAGCCTGTGAGCTCTAGGCTCCATAGCAACACAAAGCTTCTGTTATTGTTGCAGTTACCAAGCATTTATTTCAATTAAATCTACTGATTGTTCTGCTCCTCCCTCATTGCTCAAGCAGGTCTCCATGAGAAGCAGATACACCATACTTTTTCTGGAGGGGAGAAGGGAGGAGACGTTCCTCAAACACTTCTGAAAATGGCACACCAGAGTGATGTAAGCAACAATGTCCCCAGATATCGCTACTTCATTCATGAAGCCACTGTGTACAAGCCTGCACAAGTCTCATTGAATAAAAACCTTATCCTTATAAAGGGAAAACCATATATTTTATTTATAGAAAATGTGACATAAGGAACATTTTCTTTTTTAATACAATATAGCTCTATAATGATTCCAGTCTCTGGAAAGCAACGAAAGAACAAATACTGTTATTTATTTTTGTGGAGTCCGAAGCAAACCCTTGGCTATTTAAGGAAAAAATAATCGTCAACTTTCATGAAGTGCCCGTTTAAGGAGGACCGTGTAATCCCAGCTAAAATATCTGTTTTTCATGGGAGTCCCCCACGAAAATGAAAAGTTATTGTGATGGGATACTTACATTTTCTAAGTCATATTTTAATGTTCTCTTTCAATTAAATCACCTCTTAGCCTAATTCCATTGTGGGTGATTATAAAATAAATAAAATTGCAACATCTGCCATATCTAGGTAAAAGCGTGCACTTTCCAAAGAGAGAGTCGTCCATTCCATTGTGTACACTCACATTTCCGTAGTGAAACATCAATAACAGTTTTTTGCACAACAAATGGTACAACTATTTGCACTGATTGCTCTATGGAAACACCCAGCAATTTGTTAAAGCCAAACTCATTCAAAGGAATGTGGAAAAACGGGTGTTTAGGTTTCTAGGCTGGCTCTCTCTACAGTATGTGAGGTGTTTTTTTTTTCTGAGACTGTTAGCGGATACGAAAAAGATGAAGAAACAAAGTACTTATTGGTCATGACCCAGAGTCACTGCTTATACAGTGGGATTTAGACATTATGTTGCTGAGCCCAAAATAGAAAAGCAGGAAGTGAAATCTCAAAACCTTACAGTTTTTGAGAGCAGCCACAAGCCACACAATAGGTGTTATCAAAGGGATACTAATGAGAAAGGAGAGAAGAAATATGTGTTTCATCAGTGTATTAGCTGTAAAGACA